TCTCTCTCTCTCTCTCTCTCTCTCTCTCTCTCTCTCTCTCTCTCTCTCTCTCTCTCTCTCTCTCTCTCTCTTTCTCTCTCTCTCGCTCGCTCGCTCGCTCGCTCGCTTACACACACCACAAGCGCGAAAACGATAGGGCAGATAAGCTGACAGACGAGCACAAGGGGGAAGGAACGAACGAACGAGCGAGCGCTTCGACAAATTGCCTCCTTCCTCTACACCGACGTCGCCAAACAGACAACAAGCGCAAGCGGAGGGGAAGACGGACAGACGAGGGGAAAAGGGTGGGCGGACGGCAGGACGGTCTTCCCTTTCTAATGAAAGAGAGATAGATGGAGAAGGACCTTGCCGCCGAGATGAGCGTGCTGACTTACCGCGACCGACCTACCTCATGTGCTCCCGCAGTTAATTACGCGCCCATCTGTGTCCCCTTCCTCACACGTACATTCGTGCGTTCGATTCTTGCCTTATCGCTCAGCAGCTGTGCGAGCAGCACGAATACGGTTCCTCGCCCCAACCCTTCCCCCCACAGCGGCAGAAGTTCATTCACGCGAAGACGCCTGCGTGTTTGCCGTGGACGAAAGTTCAGCGTTTCCAAAATAGAACAGAGTAGAACAGAGGACCTGCCTGCTGGCTCTGAGAGGTCGAGATGTCCCCGGGTTACATTAACCATAGCTGGCGCGCATATACAGGCGGGTTGCGCCTTGAGGGTCGTCACGCGGTCCAGCCTTGGGCTACAGGGCGCGGGCGTGGGCGTGGGCGTGGGCGTGGGGGCAAGCTTCTCTCCCGGCGTGCGCGGGAGTTCGTGAAAGAATCAGCAAATTGAGCGCGCGCATCTCACAGGGAGTGCTCAGTGCAGTGCTCTCCGTGCCAGACTGCCTACCGGTCGGTCCGCACCAGCCCACCTACCCGTAGATCCTCCTCCGCTCCAGCCCGGCTACCGGTAGGTCCGCACCAACCCACCTACGGATAGACCCTCCGCTTCGGCCCAGGGCTGGCCACGGGCCAGGTCCCACTAGCAGCGTTGAGTTTCCTCATCGCCTGAATCTGGACGCGTTCCTGTTGGGACCTGGCCCCCGAACCCGAGCTGCGGACCATGCACAGACTCGACCCCGCGCAACCCTCCACGGCTCGGCGGCGAGAACCCATGGACCCTCTGCCTGCCTCTCCCGCCAACTCCCCGCGCCAAGACCACCGGCCCTCGCCCGAGCCTCCCTCGACGTCTAACGTGGCTGATTTGATACAAGTTTAGCAAACGTACGGTCCAGTACAGAAGCGCCCAAATTCGTCCGACTAGACTAGAAACGTTTCGACTCTATTTTTTCCCGCGGCCGATAGCTGTGCCAAGTACTCACGTGCCTTTCGAGGGTTCTTTCCCTTCTTTTTTTTTTTTTTTTTGCTACCACACCAGTCGCAGATAACCAGTCTCAAGAAGGGCGGGTTGAGGAAACGGACAAGCACCGGCTGCTCAGCCTAAGTCAGTGCCTGTGTTACCGGAGATTCGTGGTGACGACCCTCAACTTCTGCTGTACACATTCCAAAAGTCACGACGACCCTCAACCACCCCCCCCCCCACTGTTCTTGTCCGGAACTCAACCCTCGCAGCTGTTTAGGTTCCTGTTTTCGCCCCCTTTTTGTTCCTGATCTTCTGCCAAGGGCGAACTCCTGGTAGGACCACCTATGGATGAATCTGACACAACGACACAGTTTCGCCAGGGTACAACTCATATCATACACCCAGGTAGCCCGAGCTTGTCCTGAGTATAGTTGCAAGCGCTCATTGGTGTTACCTTCACAACCCTACAGCCCTAGAGCGCTTGGCGGTATAGCACGGTGCGAGCGGTCTGTCCCCAACGCTCGTTTTTCTTCTGTCCGCAACGCTCGCTTTTCTTCTTGTTCGGACGACCATGGCTTGTCCTTTTTTGTTCCAAAGACCAAGGGTTGTGCTTGTGATGTTTTATCTTTACAAGGGAAGTAGCATTCGGGTTTTCGTTAAGGCCCCTGATCCTGTTTGGCGGCCAGGTGAAACCCGTAGGGTCATTCGACAGGCGTGAGTTTTCGCTTTCGCCATCGCTGGTGCTTGGCGTTTTATCTTTGCGAGCAAAGTCCCGTTTGAGTTTTTCGGTTTAATCTTATGTACTTTCCTTTTTCTATGATTTTCTTTTTGCCCTTTCTCGGACTCATGATATGTCTGGTCTCACGTTGAAGCTTGTATGTTATCTCATGAATGTCTTGACGTTTTGTTGAAAAAGCATATTGTCTACCGCGTGGGCGCGGGGAACGCAGCCCTAAGGTAGCCAAATCAATGAGAC